TCAACTTAAGGCTAAGGCAAAGCTGTCGGTGTCCAGAAAATGAAGAAATATAATACAGCAACGTGTCCCCATTTGCTATGCCCAGGAATAAAGTGGCGCGTGAAAAATGCTATTATATGATTGCCCCACCCACCCTCTACTCTATTCCCTTTTTAATCACTGAAAAAATTCACATATTTAGAAATTACTCTTTCTGCTTTTATTTCTATAAACGTACGTACTCCACTTATTTTTCATCTCTAAAAAAACTCATTTAATTGCACTTAAAAGCCCAACTGAATTTTTGTTTTAATAAGTTCTAATCTTCGTTTGAAATTTGATCATTAATCTTCAAATAAAAACACATTTAATTCATGATGTTTTTAAATAAATTATTTGATTGTGATTTTTAAAATAAAATATTATTCTATTCCCGATTTAAACTATAAATTTAATTGATTTTCAAGTGTAATTAGATAAATTTATTTTACATATTACTTAAAAGTTAATTCTAATTATTAATACAATAACAACAATAAAATTCTATTCTCATATGCAATAGGGTAAGGGGATGTAGGGAAGTAGACTGGCTCTAACGTAAGGTTGAGAGCAGCTTCTGTGTTAAACCTTCGGCAGTCAGAAAAATTAAAAATAAAGATAAAATGCAATGCATGTATAAATAAATAAATAAATAAATACATAGTTGAATATTCTTCATATGCACGTCTTAAATGAGAAGTAATCCCTGCAAATAAATCCCTGCGTAAAAATCTCTACATATAGACAGAAACGTAAGACCCGGCTAAATTTAAAAAGAAGAAACCTGAAGAGAATGATACACAGAAGTCAACGATAGCAAGCTACGAGAATGATTAAAGTCAAATGGGTTGAAACATACACTAAGGCAACACTACTCTGCTACCCTAGTTCTAAGCCTTCATAAATTTAAATGACAAAAACGTATAAAAAGTAGAAGTCATGAGAATTACTACAAAGACATTAAAAAGAAGACAGAGATGTTACACAGTAAGGTTGTAACCCGCACTACTCGGCTACCCTGGTCTTAAGTCTCCATACTTTTCTATCAGAGGTCATGCCCTCGGTAAGGGTTAAATCCTTCAAATCATATCTCAAGCAGTCTTCCCACTTCCGCCTTGGTCGTCCTCTCCTTCTGGCACCGTCGACTGTAATCGACTCTACCCTCCGGACCGCATCCGACGGTTGTCGCCTAAGGACATGCCCAAACCACCGTAGTCTTCCCTCCCTCAATTTTTCGGATACATGCACCACCCCCAAGGACATCCTAATGGCAGAGTTTGGTGTCATGTCCCACATAGTCCTACCACATGCCCATCAAAGTATTCTTATTTCAGCGGCCTCCATCCTCCTTACGTGATCCTTCTTGATTGCCCAACATTCTGATTCATACAGCAACGCTGGTCTTATTGTCATTCTATAAAATTTTCCCTTAAGTTTTAGAGGCAACTTCTTGTCACACAAAACTCCAGTAGCAGCCCTCCACTTTAGCCATCCCGCCTTTATACGGTGTGTAACGTCATCATCTACACCTCCATCTTTATGTATCATAGACCCTAGGTACTTGAAACAATCCTTTGAGGGAAGAACTTGTCCTTCTATGCATACATCTACATCTTCATCGTTTTGGTTCCCACTGAAGTTTGAACATAAATACTATGTCTTTTCAATATTGATCCTTAGACCTTTTTCTTCCAAAGCAATCTTCCAAGTAGCCAGTCTACTAATCAGCTCAGATTTTGTTTCAGCAACTAGGACAATGTCGTCAGCGAAAAGCATACATCATGGAACACCGTCTGGTGTCGCACAATAGATGTCGTCCATAATCAAGGCGAAGATGTAAGGGCTAAGAGTCGACCCCTGGTGGAGTCCAATTTCCACCGGGAATGCCTCGGTGTTGTCAACTGTAGTCCTAACGTATGTAGTAGATTTATAGTACATATCACGAATCACCCGGATATAAGCAGTTGTGATCCGTCTCATTTCCAAGGTCTTCCAAATCGTATCGTGGGGCACGATATCATACGCCTTCTCAAGGTCAATGAACGCCATGTGAAGATCTCTATTTTTTCCCTATATTTAACCACAAGCCGTCGAAGTAGATGAGTCGCCTCCGTAGTAGACCTGCCTGGCATAATGCCAAATTGGTTTTCCGAAACCCTAGTAACCTGTCTCAACCTAGCCTCTATCACCCTTTCTCATAGCTTCATGGTATTATTGAGTAGTTTAATACCTCTATAGTTGCCACAACGTTGGGGATCTCCTTTATTCTTATAGATTGGTATCACCGTAGACTCTCTCCACTCCTCTGACATCTTGACAGTCTCTAAAATAATATTAAAGATGTTGGTGAACCACTTAGCTCCTTTTTCTCCTAGGGCCAACCACACAGTGATAGGAATTTGATATTGACCGACAGCTTTGTCCCTCCCATCTTTCTAAGAATCATTTTGACTTCCTCAAACCCAATCCTACTTATAGGGTAGTCAATTGTCGTAGTATGATGGTCGGCTGACCCATCAACGTTACTATCTCTACAAGGAGAGGCACCGTCATTAAATAAGCCAAAGAAGTAACTACCCCAAACCATCTTAATATCATGATTTTTCACTAAAAGAACACCATTGTTGTCCTTAATCTCTAATTATTAATGTTAGCATTAATTATTTCCGGGCCAGCCCATTTAAACACACTAAAACTAAACTGGTTAATCAGCCCATTTAAGCACTCATTCTAATTATTTATGTAAGCACTCATTTGTATACAAGTATGAGCGAGATTTCTTTCGTTTGAATGTTATGTTCCAGAGTTGATGACGACAAAGGATCTTAGATGTACGAGGATTATAGAGAACCTGTACATTAACATCCACTTTCAGTTATCGATCGACTGGTCAAGAGTTTTTTTGAGTTGACTCGTAAAATTAAGACAGTCGAGAGGGTTCAGAGTATGAAATATTGTTTGTTGAGTGGATCTCCAAGGTAGAGTAGGAGAGCCTCCGAGTTGGCTGGTCCATAGAAAACTTCGACCAAAAGGACCAAAGACTCTCAAGTATTGTGAAGTTCTTTATCAGTTCATTCCTGAAGGTCAAGACAGAGCTTAGAATGGAGAGGTATATTGTGAGAGACCATTAGCGACTAAATCAATGATGAGTTTGGGAGGTACAACGTGGATTTCACTTCCTCCCGTGTGTGATTAGTGTGGTATGAGGAACTTGGGTGAGTACAATGGGAGATCGAGCACTTTGTTAGAGACTACCTAGAGACAATGGGTGCAGCTCCTGCATCATCGTAGATATTAGCCCCGACAGTTCAGCGTGATTAGGGACCCTTTAGAGGAGAATGTAGTGTTGCGTTAAGGTAGCAGAATCGAAGAACTGCTAGATATTCAGCCATGCCAAAAACCAGGGTAGCATCCAAACAGTATGCAGTAAAGATCCAAGAAGAATGTGACACTATTAACGTTATCACATGTATGTTTATATCATTTTCTATTCATGTATTAATGGACTCTGAATAAGTACAACTTTTAATATCCTGATATCTAAAAAAATTATGTAAATATATATAACTTTTAATATCCTGATACCTAATAATAATCATATACTTATATTGATATATTTATGTTTATGTACTTTTAGATAAATAAAAAATTAAATATATATATTAAATTATTTATATAAAAAATTATAATATATATTAGAAATAAAAAATATTTTCTATGGACTTTTATATAAATACATAGAAAATATTTTTCACTTTAATATTGAGAATTAAACTTGTTAGAAAAATATATCTCAATGGTATTTGATAAAATATATATTATTAATATTTTATTTCATCCAACCAAACATTATAATCTTACATTATTATCAAACAATCCAAACAATTTATTATGTCAAATAATATTACGTCCTAATAATAATATTTTATCTTATATTTTGTGAACTGAATGATTCGAGTGTCACGCAATTCTTATAGATAAATTTAACGGTGGTAACATCAAGTAATTATTTGTAATGAAAAATATTTAAAATATTAATTAGGATCAGTGTTTATATTAAAACTAAATAAAATTGTTTGTTAAAACTGGAATGGCATTTTAGAAAAAAGTTTATTTACAAGCCTAGAAACCATGTCCCTACCGCGTGTATTACAAGACAGAAGCCAACCAGGCATCCATTTAGAACGAGTCAGGTTTTCCATTGTACTTTGTGTTTTGGCCATTTGATAATGCAAGCAGAAAATATATTTGCAGCATATTGTTCGTGTATATTTACATGATAAATACCAAAAAAAAGAAGCCAAACACAATACAAATTTTTTTTTTTTTTTAAAGATGGCATTTTAGCAAATTATTTCAAGGATGTTCTATTTTCCGTCAATCATCATAATTAGAATACATAGATTGAACTAATTCATATACATAAGACCGTATAAAATTTTATATATATATATATATATATATATATATATATATATATATATATATATATATATATATATATATTCCTTCTCATACATCCTCTTTTATTTATTGAGATTCAGGCCACAACCCCCACGAATCTTTGTCCATTATAAAAAAAATGTTAATCCACTGGACAGAAATGCAAACCATCTTTCCTCAGCTTGTCATCTCTGGAGAAACATGGATTGGGCACCTGAAAACCGAGACAAAGGATCGAAACGCTAATAAAAAAACGTGGGAAAGACGCAAGGTTGCTGGTCAATGAAGAAAATTCTTCAAAATTCATGTTATGCAGATCCGCTGGATTGAAAGAGGTATGGCGGAAGCAAGTCAGATACTTGTTCTACTTTGCGGGAGGCTATGTCTAAATAATAATATAAAGAGTAGATGACAAATGCAAATTAACCAGAAAAACGCACCTACAAAGATGAAAAGCTGAGGATAGACTCAATTTGCAGAAATAACACTTCATGTATCAAATAGAAAGAGAACTAGTGGCGTGCGGAGGTCGTGAAGGGAAGATCTGTGTTCCTCCCTGTATTATGCTGGTTGCCTTGCTCCGTAACAGAAGATTCAGCCGAATGACGTGACGCAGAAGCTTGGTTTTCTCTGTTGTTCCCATTGATCTCAAGTCGCTCCATCATACGAGATACACTAGCAATTCCTGCGCTTACTTCTCGAAGAACTTCATTCCCAATATCAGACATAGAAGAGCTACGTGAGAACAACCTCTCCTTCAAGCCTCTTGTACTCTTAGAAATTGACTCCTTATATCTTCGATTCGGAAAGTTTTAACAATAAATTAATAACAAACTCGAAAAATATGCATTGTCTAGTTTCATACCCCTAAAGATTTTCAACCATACCTCAAGGACACTGCATTAAGTTTTGATTTTAGAGACTCCGAAAATGACTGAAATTCTAACGGTCCTGCTCCCTCTGTATTTGTAAATGAATTATCACCAGAAGTGCTTCTATAAACAAAGACAAATAATCAACTAGATAATACATGCACCATTACAAAATCACTAGAAGTGCTTCTGCAAACAAAGGTAAATACTAGAGATATATACAATGTAATATTCAAATGCATGACAAAAGAAGTCATAAATACCTATTATTAAAGGAAAATGCTCGTCTATTCACTGGACTGGCAGTAGTTCCAGAGGCTGATGTATTCTGTCCAGAAGGAAATGGAGGCATCTCTTCTCGAGATGGTAGCGGACTAGATGGCCTAGCCACAGTAACTGCAGGTGCTTCAGATTCCCTTGCTATCTGAGTCTGAGTTGACGATCCAGAACCAGATTGCTGTGCAGTGGGATGAGAAAACACCAATAAGTGTGAACGACCATTAGTAGATGATCTTCTCTGGCCCTCCCTCCTACTAGTGCGGTGGGTCCTTCCCATTGCAGCAGCAAAGTGCTGAATTATACGCTCTTCAAGTTCAGGGTCATTTACACCAACCGGCAACTGCATTACAACGCAAAAATTGTGTAAGTTGTATTTAAAAGATGGACGGATGTCGTAACGTATTAATCGCCAAATAATAGTAAAAATGTTATTGTTATAAGCACTTGGAGGTGTTGGAAATAAAACACTCACACAAACAACTTTTATTGAAACTCAAACAAATATTACAAGAGTATTCTCACTCAAAAACAAGAACTACAACTCACTCTTATAAGACTTTGCTTCTTCACTCACTTAGAGGCTCTTAATTTTTCTTGATGCTTAAAACTAAAATGGGAAGGGGTATTTATACTACTCAAGAACAATCCTACACCACACAAATAAACTAATTTAAACCATTACAAATTCAACAAATATCTAACTCTCACCTAATTAAATTGATGTAAGCAATGACATCATTAATTAAATGATGTAAGCAATGACATCTTTAATTAAATGATGTAAGTAATGACATCAATTTAGTTTGGGTTTGGGTTTAGGCTCCCATAATGGATCAAGTTTATGATCCAACACCCTCCCTTAAACTTGATCTCGTGACCCCTAGTAGGTTCCTTAATCTTAAGAAGTCTTCGCTGGTCAGTGGCTTGGTAAAAATATCAGCAACTTGATATTGTGACTTCACATATTCAACTTCCACATCTTTTCTTGCAACACACTCCCTTATATAGTGGTAGCGAATATCAATGTGCTTGCTTCGATCATGGAATACTGGATTCTTTGCTAAGGCAATGGCTGACTTGTTGTCGACACAAACCTTGGTAGGCTCTTCTTGTATCAAACCAATCTCCTTCAATAGATTTCTAAGCCAAATTGCATGACAAACACATGAGGTAGCAGCAACATATTCCGCTTCACAAGTGGATAATGTGACAATCGGTTGTTTCTTTGACATCCATGTGAATGCAATATCTCCCATGAAAAATACGAATCCAGTAGTGCTCCTTCGATTATCTATGTCTCCACCCCAATCACTGTCGCTATATCCAACAAGCTTGTAATCATTAGAAACTGAATAGAACAAGCCAAAGTCAATTGTACCTTTCAGATAGCGAAGAATTCTCTTTGCGGCTTTAAAATGGGTGGTTGTTGGGGATTCCATGTAGCGACTAACCAATCCAACTGCGTGAAGAATATCGGGTCTCGTGCAAGTTAGATAGCGTAGACTTCCTACCAAACTTTTGAAGAATGTTGGATCTACACTTTCGCCTTCTTCATGTTTGGTCATCTTGATCCCGTATTCTGCCGGTGTGCTTATTGGCTTACAGTTCTCCATCTTGAACTTCTTCAGTATCTCCTTTGCATAGCTTTCCTGTGAAATGAAAATTCCATCATTTTGTTGCTTAACTTCAATGCCAAGGTAGTACGCCATGAGCCCCATGTCTGTCATCTCGAATTCTTTCATCATCACATCCTTGAATTCATTAAACATGCTTGGGTTGCTTCCAGTGAAGATCAAATCATCCACGTAGAGGCACACGATCAAAATATCTTCATCTTTGATCTTGATATATAGAGCATGCTCGTAGGGACATTTGTTGAAGCCATTCTCTTGGAAGTACTTGTCGATTCGGCTATTCCATGCCCTTGGTGCTTGTTTTAGCCCGTAAAGAGCCTTCTTCAACTTCAACACCTTGTCTTCATGCCCTTTGACTTCATAGCCTGATGGTTGCTGAATGTAAAGTTCCTCTTCAAGAACTCCATTTAGGAAGGCGGACTTTACATCCATCTGTTGTATCTTCCACTTGTTTTGAGCTGCCAAAGAAATGATTAGTCTGATAGTCTCCAATCGAGCAACAGGAGCAAATACCTCATCATAGTCAATTCCAGCCTTTTGACTATAGCCTTTAGCAACTAGCCTCGCCTTGTGCCTTTCAATCTCTCCTTTGGCGTTTTGCTTTGTTTTGTACACCCATTTGACACCTATCGCCTTATGTCCCTTGGGAAGTGAGGTAAGTTCCCATGTGTCATTCTTCTCAATGGCCTTGATTTCTTCGTCCATCGCATCTCTCCATTTCTTTTCTTGTACCGCTTCTTGAAAGCTCACTGGTTCACAATCGGCAAACAGACAAAATAATGTAAGATTATCTTGTCGTTCAGTTACCTCATAGAGATCTCTAAGGCTTCTTGTGCGTTGCACAACTCTTTCACTTTGACTCCCACTTGACGATGATGAAGGTGATGAGTCTCCTTGAGTGGTTGATGTTGGTGAAGTGGGTGGAGTTGCAAGCTCTTGTTGAGATTCATCTAGTTGCTCCCTCATTGTCTGCTCATCTTCTTCAAACTGAGGAAAGAAATTGAAGTCATCTGTATGAGAGTTAAAATCCCATTCTCCTTCTTCGTTGAAGACCACATCTCGACTAATCACAAACTTCTTATTGTCTGGATTGTACAACTTGTAACCCTTCGAATTAGCATCATAGCCGATGAAGATAAAACTCTCGCTTTTATCATCAAGCTTCGTTCTTCTCTCGTCTGGTACGTGAACATGGGCTATACTTCCAAAGGTTCTCAAGTGGGAAATGCCAGGCTTTCTTCCACTCCATGCCTCTTGCGGTGTCTTTCCCCATACACTTCTTGTTGGAGATCGATTTGACAAGTAGACTGCACACGATATTGCTTCCGCCCAAAATTCTTTGGGTAGTTTCTTGCTTTTGAGCATGCTTCGTGCCATGTCGAGGATTGTTCTATTCTTTCTTTCTGCCACACCATTTTGCTGGGGGGATCTAGGAACTGTCATTGGTCGACGAATTCCATTTGCTTCACAGAACTCTTGAAACTCCTTGGAAGTAAATTCTCCACCTCGATCGGATCTCATGGCTTTGATCTTTCTACCGCTTTCTCTCTCCACTGCTGCTTTGAACTTCTTAAAGACTTCAAAAACTTCTGACTTCTGTTTCAAGAAATATACCCAGGTTTTTCTTGAAAAATCATCAATGAAGAGAAGAAAATAGTTATTGTTACCGAGAGAGCTTGGCTTGATCGGTCCACACACATCGGTATGGATGAGCTCAAGTGGCTTCTTAGCTCTTGTCTCTGACTCCTTTGGAAAGCTTTTCCTGAATTGTTTCCCGACTAGACACCCTTCACAGAGTTGGTCAGGATGGTTGATGTGAGGTAGTCCTTTCACCATCTCCTTCTTAGATAATAGCTCTAGACCTCCAAAATTGAGATGCCCAAATCGAAGATGCCAAAGCCATGATGCATCTTTGTAGCAAGCTTTCAGGCACTTTGGAACATCATTTTGTATGTTGATCAAGAACATTCTATTCTTTGACATCGGCACTTTAGCAATGAAGTTATTCTTATCATCTTTTATAGAAAGATTATAATTATTCATATGAATATCATAACCTTTCTCTACCAGTTGCCCTAAACTTAAAATGTTACTTTTCATATTGGGCACATAGTAGACATTTGAAATAAATTGATGTCTCCCATCTTTCAAACGGATAAGAATGTTACCTCTCCCTTTCACTGCTATTGTGGAATCATCTCCAAACGAAACATTTCCACTTACTGACTCGTCTAGCTCCACAAACATGTCTTTCCTTCCACACATGTGATTGCTTGCACCACTGTCAAGATACCAGGAATTTGCTTGGCCACCATCAGTTTCCTTTCGTGCTAGAAGAAGAGTTTCTTTGCCATCTGTCTTTTCCTCCACGTAATTGGCCTTCTCCTCAATTTTGTTGTTGGGAGCTCTACATTCTGAAGCATAATGCCCAAATTTTTGACAATTATAACATCGAATTTGAGATTTGTCATACTTTGAGTTTGGATTAATTCTTCCACGGCCTCGTGTTGAGCTTTCTCCTTTCTCATAGTTGTTGTTGGAATTGTTATTGTTGTAATTCCAGCCTCGTCCACGACCTCGACTTCCACCTCGTCCATGGCCTCTACCTCTGCCTTGGCCACGTTGGTTTCTATCATTGCGTTGGCTCTCATGCATATCCTTGAGTTGCAGCTTGAGGAGTTGCTCAGTAAACTCATGCTTCTTTTTATGCTTCTCTTCGTATGCTTGCAATGATCCTTGGAGCTGTTCGATCTTCATTTCTTCCAAGTCTTTAGTTTCTTCAATCGTCACGACGATGTGCTCAAATTTGGGATCCAACGAACGGAGTATCTTCTCTATTATCCTCACATCGTCTAACTTTTCACCATTTCTTTTTAATTGATTAGAAACAGCTACTACTCTTGAGAAATAATCTGAAATAGACTCAGATGCTTTCATGTTTAAGGATTCGAATTCACCTCTTAATGTTTGGAGACGAACCTTCTTCACTTGCTCGGATCCTTTGTAAGAGGTTTGCAGCTTCTCCCACGCTTCCTTGCTAGAGCTTGCACTTGAAATCTTTTCAAACCATCATCATCTAATGCTTGATAGATTAGGTAGAGAGCTTTCTTGTCTCTCTTTCTTGAATCCTTCAAAGTTGTCTTTTGATCTGGTGTAAGAGTAGCAAAAACATCATCATCCGCATGCTCATTATAGCCTTTCTCTATGATATCCCACACATCTTGTGATCCAAGAAGTGCCTTCATTTTGATACTCCAATTGTCGTAGTTGTTGTTGTTGAGTGTCGGAACTTGGAATGGTGCCATACCATTTGCCATATCTCTCAATATAATGAGATTTTGTAAAATCCGATTGCACGGATGAATCCGGAACGATGAAAAAAAACTTTGGAGGGACTTGGACAACTCGGTCAAGAGCTCCAACTCGGCTGAATCGGCTCAACTCGGTGAGTCAACTCGATTTTCTGGCAGCAGTCTTCCGGCGGTGCGTGGCGGTGCGTCAGAACTCAGATTGAGAAAATTCTGGCGGCGTCGTATTCCTCTCGTCGAGACCTTCGATCTTTCCAACTCTCTCTGATGCCACTTTGTTGGAAATAAAACACTCACACAAACAACTTTTATTGAAACTCAAACAAATATTACAAGAGTATTCTCACTCAAAAACAAGAACTACAACTCACTCTTATAAGACTTTGCTTCTTCACTCACTTAGAGGCTCTTAATTTTTCTTGATGCTTAAAACTAAAATGGGAAGGGGTATTTATACTACTCAAGAACAATCCTACACCACACAAATAAACTAATTTAAACCATTACAAATTCAACAAATATCTAACTCTCACCTAATTAAATTGATGTAAGCAATGACATCATTAATTAAATGATGTAAGCAATGACATCTTTAATTAAATGATGTAAGTAATGACATCAATTTAGTTTGGGTTTGGGTTTAGGCTCCCATAATGGATCAAGTTTATGATCCAACAGGAGGCAGCATACATGTTGCAACTCAAAATCACCAAGGGTGGGATGGTGAAATATGGCGGTATTTCTTGGTGCAGTAACCCGAACGATCCTTTCCCTTTCTACTGCTTGAAGCATTTCTTGACTGTAAACCATTATTAGCTTATTCCATAGATTTTATGATGAGAAAATTTTCAAAGGAAAATGAAAAAGTGCTTTAATCAATGTAAAACCTTGCAGAGTCCTTCAAGTTAATGGCTCGCCAACACATGGGACATTGTGAGCTTCTCTGGCACCTACAAATAACAAACTTGTTTATCAAAGGAAATAGTATATAAAACATGGAACAAGGAATGAACATGAATAATGTCTTAGCAAACTCATCAGACAGCCAATATAGGGGTAATAATATTAAATTCATGAACATGAACTGGAATAATATATTGAAAAAAGACAGTAATTTTGAGTTTTACAAGATATGTACCATTCAAGAATGCATTGGAGGTGGAACTCATGCTTACAATTTGTCACCTGCAAGCAATAATAGCAAAGACTTCAAAATGAGGCATTCACACAGAAACTTAAAAGAAAATAGCAAGTAAAATCCCCATTACCAAGAAAAGGATTAATAAAACTGAATTTATGATTTAGGTATTACCGTGGAAGGATCACTCGAACAAAACTCGTCGAGGCATATGCTACAAGAATCATCACTGGCATCCTGGATTCCCCCTTCGACAAAAGCTGCAGCCGATGTCATACGACTGTCCAGCTTCTGTGTCTCCTCCATCCTCAGAACCTTCATATATATATATATATAACCCAGAAATTTTGGTTCTTAAAATAAAATAAAAGATAAAAATCCATAAACACATATTGAAAATACACACACAGTCATGGGTTTACCTCCAAAAAAAGGAATTTTGGAAACTCTTGAGAGATGAGTTAAGGAATCAAGGATATGCCCGGAAAAGACGAGAAATTGAGGCTTCTGAATTTTCTTTCCTCTTCTATTTATTTAACCAAAAGGATCCATTAAGAACAAGCGGGAACCCTACAGAATTTAGAGGGAAAAACTGATTACCAAATGACAAAATAGGAAGAAAATGAAGAGGGAGAGAAAAAATAGGAAAAGAAAAGCCACGACCACCATTACCTTTATACATCATTATTGTTCTTCATTTATGAAACATATTATCTCCTTCACCAAAATTTAGATGGAACTGATTAACGTAAACATATTAACAATAGACTTCAGTTAACACGTATTTTTAACCATCTGTTAAGAACCATCTATTTAGTTCATTATTATCAATTTTTTTTATTTTTTGGGTATTAACAATAAAACTTTTTAAAGAGACGTTCTATAGTTTCACTATGACTCATGCATAACGGGTTTCTATTAGTCATCTCAATTCCATGGTTGATTAGAAAGTTCAAGCAAGGTGTTAACTAATTTAAAACAAAAAATTAAAAAGATCTTTAATTTTGCTTCATTATTGTAATTAAAATGATAATTTTATTTAATTTTTTAATTGAATTAATGTAATTTGAATCTGTAATTGTTTTGAATAACGAGTTAAAAATAAGCTCATAAAATAAGAATACACATATTTATGTGAAAAATATTATACATATGAGTGAAATTTCATTATGTTAGTGACAAATACAAAAGAAATTTCTGAAGTACATCAAACCCTAAATCTTAGCTATATATATATATATATAGGTTAAGATTCATTAACACTACGTTAAATTCTTTTAATTTTATAAAGATTTAGGGACGTTGAATGAGTGAAAATAGATGAGTGAGATTAGCTCTTTGTTTTTCATTGAATATCTTCTCATGTCCTAATGTTAATCTCATCCATTTATTTTTACTCATCTAACGCTCTTAAACATGTGTAAAATTAAAAGAGTTTTACATAATCCAAAAGGATCATATCCAGATATGTGTTTTTGTGTGATATGATCCAATTACTCGATATAAAACCTGTTAGTTTTTACATAGATTTAGAATCATTAGATGAGTGAAAATAGACGGCTAAAAGTAACATTATGAAGACTTTCACTTGAAAAAACAATGAGTTAATCTCAACCGTTTATTTTCACTCTAATGATTTTAAATCTGCATAAATCTAAAAAAAATTACATTATGTAAGTGGATCTTATATATAGAGAGAGAGAGAGAGAGTTGACAATAACAAAAACCCTAGTTATATAGAGAGAGAGTGGGCAAGAACACTTGGTTCATTCGATAAAAGTCTCAGTGCTCTTAATGGAATTTTATAGGTCAATCATTGGGGGACATGCAAGGGTTTTACATATGTTTCAACGAATATCCATGAATTTCTATTGGATGGGCGTGAAGAATGATGTAAAGATGTTGGTTAGCGAATGCTAAATATGTCAGAAAATTAAAAATGATGGTTTATCACTCGTAGGTCTACTGCAACCTCTACCATTTTGAATAAGGTATTCCAAGATACATCTCTTAACTTCTTTATTGGTTTGCCAAAGTCAAATGATAATGAAGCCGCATTGGTTGTAGTGGGTCATCTCATAAAATTCTCTACCCTTGCCAAATATACATAGGACAGAATTACGAGTTTAGCATATCATCTTCAGACTGACGACCAAACTGAAGTGTTAAATCAATACATTGAAATGTATCTAAGATGTTTAGTAGGGATGAGCCCAATAAATTAGAAAATACATAAATTAGAACAAATATAAAAGTTAACTCGTGTAATTTAAAAAAACATAATCATAATAAAGCACATTAATTTCTAATCATCCCATCATCAGTCAGAAATTAGTTATTTGGATATCTAACCTTTAATTACCGAAGTCCAATTAACTTTAACCGTATTAGATTACTGTAGTATTAGATTACTCTAATATGGACTAACCTTTTTATGTATTAGATTACTCTAATATGAGACTAATCTTTTTATGATAATAAATTACATATAATTATTTGCTTATTATATATGTCATGTTCATATAATCCGACAATTTCCTACTTGAACCACATAGATACATGTACTTATCACTTTATAATTATATGTCACACCAACCTCGTGAGCTAAAAAGTTTACTATTACAACCGAGAGGTATACTAAACAATCTTTGTAACACTCCAACTTTTTGAGTCAACGCGTGTGAGTTGATCTATGAGGTCTATGAACCGATATGGTTATGTAATTGGAATCGTTTGGTCAGGTTCAGACCTAATCAGATACGAATTAGGCCCAAACAGCCATAAAAAGAATATTTATGAATGGAGAGCAAAAGAAGAAAGACTAAAGGTTGTAATATCCAATTTTCGTCCTTCCTACCATTTTTAAGGCTCAAACATTTTATTTAAGATGATTTTGAGGTACAAAATATCAGTCGAGCTGTAACAAATTTCTACATGGGATTCGGGTATTTCCAAGTCAAGATGTCTCTTGAAACAAGACCGACATTCAATTAGCTTTCCAACACATTTTAAAACGTCTCAATCAGACATCAAGAACTTAATATATGCATATTTTAGCGAAGACAACTCGTGAAGAAAAATAAATACAGGTTCAATACGAGATTTTTAAATTTATTACGAATTTTCAATTATTTTATTGATTATTTATAATTAAATTCAACTTTAGACTTTCTTTTATTTATTTAAAATAATTTAGGATCTTCTTATTAATTTAAAAAAAATCTTTTAATTTATGTATTTAGCATCAATGAAAATATAATAGGATTTTCTTTTTAGGATTTTTTAGAGGCCTATAAATAGACCCTGGTCTTATTATGTTATGCATTATTCTTTATTAGTTTTTTATGCCGGTACTCTTAACCTTTTATTTTATTTTTGTAGACTATAACAACTCAATCTTCTTTTCTTTTTAATCTAAATTCCCTTATTTTTATTTCATAAAGTTTAAGCTTTAGTACATAAATAATGATAAACTTTGAGCTTTAATTAATTTTCTTCGATAAAGGCGAAACAAAAGTTATTCAATGCATATATTATATTTGTTCATAATATTTCTTAATCATTGATAATGTACACACCTTATACAGACAGTTATTCGAACTAAAGACTTCAAGAGAGAACAACACTCTTTTTAATCACTGATGTCACTTAATGGGTTGAATATACATTGAATTTTGACATTTTTCATTTACGTTTAAATATATAAGGGCAAACTACTTCTATAATCACCAAATTATGGGGTAGTTTTATTTTTGAAAATTAAACTATGAATTTTTTCAATTAAATTACTAAACTATTAAAAACAATCTCAATCAAACCATTGATCGTTTAACCATCAACATAAATACTAACATGAAAAATAAACAAAATTATATAAATGTTAATAGAAATACGTAATTATACATATTTGATTAACTGTCTCATTGGTATTTTTGTTAACATTTAATAATAGTTTGATTGAAATCATTTTTATAATTTAATGACCTAATTGACAAAATTTACAGTTCAATTGTTAAAACATAACCACCTCTATAGCTTAGAGACTAAATGTAGTTTACCCAACATTTAAAGGTTAAAAAAGTACTCCATTTACACTTGGGCAAGTAAGTAAGAATTGGCGTATATGGATTTCAGGCACACCAATCCACTTTGACAATTATGGTAAATGTTTATTACCTTTGTTTCACATCTAAATTTTTCAATATATTTTTAGTATTTATATATGTGTTAAAATTGATTTTTTTATCCAAATATACCCATTAAAAATTATTTCTCATTCTTACATCTAAAATCGATTAATTTTTAAATTGATGCCATTTTATGTCAAGTAAACAGATCCATGTTTTAGAGAAAACACATTTTGTTGGTGTATCGGAATTTACGTTTTGTAAAAAACTTCTTCGGTTGATGTGACAAAAGTCATCATAACTTTAAATATTGGACTGAAATGAAAAATTAAAAATAAAATAGAAGAGCAACAAATATGAATAAATTATACGGTTTTTTCTAAAAAAAAGAATAATCGCATACAATGTGTAACGGAAACACGTAATTACAGGAGCACAAGTCGGGCGACGATGATGTGTGTGTATTATTAGTATGTTCAATCACTCAATAAATATATTTTTTATTAGTCTTACATTGATAACAAGATAGTGTTATTCAGAATCTTTCTTAATCGTTGTTAATACACACAAAGAGATGTAACTGCTTGAACCCCATAACCTATAGGAAGAACATTTATTCCTTTAACCATTGAGATCACTTGATGGGTTCCAATAAATACATATTTGTTTGTATATTTTTTTAATAGTCTTAGGGTGATTGCAATATAATATATATTAATAATATTTTTTAATTGTTGACAACGCACGCTCGTAAACACAACTGATTGAACTTAATATTCTAAGAAAAATAATATTATCTTTAACCACTGATACAATTTAATGATTTTTTAATAAATATGTATTTAAAAGATTATATCTAAATTCTCGAAACGGTATACATTTAAATAATATAAGATATTAAAACCCCAAATCTTTGGTGAAAATATGATGTAAAAACATAATATTTTGGTAAGTCATGGGAAGGTGGGACAAGAAGAAGTCCCCGGAAGGTCACAATTCCACAATGATTCATGAGGGTCCCCAATGTCCTCCAAATGGGATATCCCATCATTTATTCTTGTCTAAATTACTATAACGTTGGATGTTACTATCTCCCAATTTTCGCTACACCTAAAAATTCGTAACCCCAAGCTAATCTGTTCCGAGAATCGTCATGTGCAAACTTAAATTCAACTTCATTCATTCTCAGATCAATCAACATCCCAATATATAAGAAATATAAATTTATATACACCCAATTGCAGCAAACATGGAATTGTTTGTTTTCTTCTCACGGTTGTTTATTTATTCTGGGCGACTCTCCTTCTCTCTGAGAGGGACTTCTCCAAAATCCAGTGCCATAGAATCTTTGCCACATCTCTTTTTCCAGTTCCACCACAGCTTTCTCTGTTTCTTCACACGCCTTCACCTCCGGGAAAACATCCTCCATACAAATCTGCAACTCGCTATTACCAGCAAGCCCACAATGTTCCCGGTTATTCGGCTGAAGCAACCCTTTTTTCTGCAACTTACGCCGCCGTTTCAGGCGGAGAGCGCGGAGACATAGTCCTACGGGAACCTTGTAAAATGCTAAAACTAGAATGTTTGCTATGGTACAAGGACAACAGCAACAGATAGCAGCACACTCGGCTGTCATACCCCCACAAAACTCCCCGAACTTGGCACCGTTCCTGGTTCTGCCGCTGTCGACACCGGAGGAGCGGGTGGAATTGGAAGAAGAACGGCTTTGCAGCAAGGGTTGCTGCCGTTGGACGGACGTTGGGGTCCTAAAAATGATCTGTCGAGACATTAAATGATAGTGAAAAAGAAGGAATCGTCTGCTGTGAACAGTTTCGGTCACGGTTTTTTGTTTTCCTTTTGGCAACAACGGAACCGTCGAATTCTAAAAACAAGAACAAAATGAAAAATGAATTTTTTATATATAAAAAAAGGTCGGTTGAAATAATGATAAAACGATGGGGAGAAAGAAACAACTTCTTTCTCGGGCTTCAACCTTGTGATTCTCGAGTCTCAGCAAACTCAAAAGAAGCCGAAAAAAAAAGAAGATTTGATTCAAATCTCTTCTTCTCCTGTTTGAAGAAACAGAACAATCTGAAACTTGGAAAAATGGGAAACAAAAAATGAACCTTTATTTTCTTTAAAAAATCACGATCAGGGCAGCAGCCGAAGTGGGTTTAGACAGCACGAACCCCCCAAGAATCAACAGCTTTAGTTAGGGAAAACCAAAGCTAGAAAATCTGGGAAGAAGAAAGATAACTAATTCGAGTTGAGTTCCGTGGAAGAAGAATAAATGAAAGCTGTCTTGTGAGTAGCATTTCACACAGGAACTCTTATCTTAGATGATATATTTAATATTTTTGGACAGGAGTTTTAAGAATCAAACAACAGTCAAATATGCAGCCAAAGGACGATAAATATGAAAGAACCGTGTTAAACGACCCATGGGGGAGTGTCCATTTCTGTTTTTTTTTTAAACTTTCAGGTGAAAAGTGATGGATTAGAAACAAATGAAGTGGTTGTTAAGGTGATGATGATTAATGAGATGGTTTATATGGGGGAAGTAAAGTGTATGACTCGACTTTCGGCACAATTTTGTAAAGTTTAAAGCCATCATGTTTTCCCCAACAACGTGCTTTCACAATTCCCAATTAGTCCACTCTCGCCGGCCTCCTTAATCTATTCTAAACAAATATAACCCTCATCCTTGTTCTACAATCACATCTTTCAACTAATCATATTATATAATGTTTGTCACGTGTGCTTCACTTCACTCAAATAGACGAATAAAATTAATAATAAAATACTAAAAATATTTATTAAAAAAAATTAATCTTAATTATTTATTTTCACGCATTTAATAGACATAATTATATGTAAAATTAAATAAATTTTATATTGGGTAAGTGTGTAAATAAATTCTAACACTATTATAGAGATATGAGCATTTAATAAGTTGAGCACTAACGAAAGAATAGGTGGAAGAGTAGACTATGAACCATATTAGTTATCTATACATTGAGCACTAACTAAGAATAGGTGAAAGGTTTTGGGAAGATTACACTAAGAATTTTTTATTTATCAAAATAATTTTAAACAGGTTTGAATAATTTTAAAATAGTTTACATTATTTTTACCTTAAATTAACATAAGTGTTTTAATTAATTTTGTAAATGAGTGACTTATTTAATTATATATGATTTATTCTGCTTTTAAATAAAAGATTTAGTTGATTTTTTTATTAATATGGGGTACATATAAGGTAGTATATATTCAAAAATAACTCTCAATTATTTGATTTGATCGCTTGTGCCCCTGACATTGTCGGTGCTCAAATTCGAAACCTCAAAGAATATCAATAATTTCTTTACCACCAAAATTACAGGGATTCGTGCATTTTATTGAATCTTAGATAACATGTTATATGGTGAAATATATTTAATCATATTGTCTTGTGCATGCCTTAAGTTATTTTACTTGTATCTCGATTTCATCCGTTTGATATAATATTTTTTTATATTTTTATTTACTAAATTATATTAAATAATGAAAATTCAACTATTTGTAATTTCTTTCATGCTAACCTAATGTTTAATACTCTAATTTAGATTTTAAATTTCACTGAACCAAAAGTTAAATACCGATTAATACTCCACGTCATTTTTTTTCTTTTCTAATTCAATACTTACGTGCATCCAACAAAATTAATTATTTTTTAAGTTATCAACAAACAAAAGTTATACAAAAAAAAATAAGAGTACAAACAATTTGTCGTCTTTCATGATATATTTATAAATGCAAAAAATATTGTTATATTCTTTTTGTCAAACTTCGTTATTTGGAAGAAATTTTATTTTAAAGTCGTCTATGAGATGTGAACTAAATAATATTAATTCGTATGATTTAATAGATTTATTTATTAAATTATAAATATATTAGACCGACAATGATTTGAACATAATATATAAATATATTTTAGTAATTTAATAACTGAACTTGTTAAACTATTTCAAAAGTTTAAGTGAATATTATTTTCTTTAAAAATCTCATATTCAAGAAACGACATATATAAAATATATATTTTTATTATCAATTAATTAAAATATTTATTAATAAATATTATCTTATAATCATTCAATGCTAATAAAAATATTACATAATATAAATAGTTTCAATTTGCCAATCACAAAACGACATATCATCCCCTCCTGTAATTATTTGAAGTAGTCAGCGTTGAGGTGAAGTGGGTATAAATACGAGGCAACAACATTCTTACGCAAAATACTTATTTTATTGTAAACTTGCACATTTTTAAGAATAGACCAAAACTTTGCATCACCCAACTTTACTTTTTATTATTTCTGCATTTAATAAAAGAACAAAGGGTTGGTTTTCTTTGTTTAATATTAAGAATACGAATTTAATGGAATTATATGACAGTATTAAAAAAATAAAAAAATAAAGATATTTTGTTGATTAAAATACTTTGTGCATTTTCATTTTCTTAAAATTATGTATAGTTAAGATGAGACATAAATTATAAGATGGAGGGAGTAATATTTATATTAAAATACTACTTATAAAATATCATGAAAATAAAATTAGGTAAACGCATTCATTTTCTTTAACTTTGCTAACATAGAAAATACAATAAAAGAAAAAATAATTTATATTCCTATTTTTCAAAATGCATTTTCATTGCATGAAACAAAAAATTAATAATAATAAAAATCCATTCTCCACTCTTTTTTTGTCTGAAAATTACATTTTATTAATACTTTATAAATAAAATTCGTTTTATATACAGAAAGGATTTAACTACAAAGTGAAATAAAAAAGAATATCATAGATTATACTTCTCAAACAAATATAATATATATTTAAAAGTTACGGTTTTAGTGTTTTTGTTATGATAAAATTTAAAATTATGTTCATATACTTTAATTTAATACCATTGAATAATTAAAGTAGATAATCATTCTAAATCATTAACGCAATAAAAAGATGTTCAAATGTTTACTTTGCTTTTTTTTTTTAGCTCGAGTCCAAATAAAGCTTTGTCATGACTTTTTTTAATTTCATATGTTCGTACGTAAATACACGAATTAAATGTAATGTAAAGTATCAAATGTAATGGTATTTGTGTTTCTACGATCTATGAGACTAGGTGAACTAATTATCTACTGGCAAAGGTTGGAAAGCAGCTCAAGGACAAGATTCACAACAATTATGATCTTACTAGATATTTCTACAAATAACAACTCGTACCAACAAACTCACCTATGAATTTAACATGTCTAAAGGAGCTAACACTTATGAGTCCTGCTCAAATAAAATGACTGTATTCATATAATCCTAAATGAAAATAACTATTCAAGTGATGAAACAAACTTAGGTACCCAGAAACCTCTGAACTATCGTTGTAACTTCCATTACTGTAAATACTCCCCAAGTTCACTCGATGACCCGTCACATCTACGAGAATCGTAACACTTGTGCAATATAAAACGAGCCATAAAGTAGACAAATATCCAAATAAGTTATATATTGATGAAGGTATAGAAGTGTTTAACAACAAGAAACAATGATGAATCAAATGAAAATACAAGTCTCGATCACCAGGATCACAATTGGTGTAAACTTCCATCTCAGGCTAGATTCGATCAATATTGTTGCACTACTGCAGCTTATTGATCCCTGCAACCTTCCAATCTACAGATCTCGTCGCTCATTTGAATCTCTAAAAAAGTTGAACTCCCATGATGTTGTTTGGTGAGTGAAAAATACTAAGAAAATTTATGGAAATGACAATGAAAAAGAAAAAAAAATTAAAAAGAAAATTCTACTATCTACATTTTAAATTTTGATTCCAATTTCAACTTGATTCATCTTCCATCATGTCAAAAATATCAAGAAGCCTTCTTTTATATAGATCATCCACGTCACACAAACTACGAGAATGAGCTGTCGAAGTTGTTATCCAGACTGTCATAACATATTGTTTAGAGTTTTATTGTTTTTGATTTAGGGTTTAAATTTTTTGGTAGTGATATTTTTGTTGCTATTTCATCAGATTGGTTTCAAACTCGAAGTAGCGTAAGAGGATCAAAGTGTAACAAAAAAAATTAAATATAAATTTTAATTTTTAAAAATAATAATAATAGAAAGATTAAGATCATAATTTATATAAAATCTCGAGGAATAAAAAAAATGTCTTGTATTTTGGAGCGGGGGTCCACATATAAACCAAGGCATGGCTGCATTCATTCATTGTATGACTATAATAATTGCTTTTAAATAAGAAGCGCGTATGGAAAAGTAGATGATGTGAGGAACACATCTATATTGTTCTAGACTATCCGAAGTGGGGTCTGTCTGACTTGTCTCATAGTAGTTACCTATCCGAAGTGGGGTCACTTCACGCGCGCTCATCGCGTTTGCTACGAGCAACAGCTAACCCCTCAAAGGTGTACGAAGTGAAAGAAAGATGACAGAACATTTACTGTACAAACACGTGTTAATGTAAAGTAAAAGTAGCCAGATAGGAGTTATTTTTAAGGGTAAACTACGTGTTTAGTATATAAATTACCAGTTTTAGTCTGTTTTAGCACTTAAGCTTTCATTTCTTAAAATCATACATAACGTTTAGTTTTTATTTAATTTTAGTACCCCACCGTTAAAAACTTAATGGACGAGCTGATGTGGCATAACTCCGGTGGTTGGAAGACCAATTTAAATGGTGGACCACGAGAGAATGACAAGTCGATTAACATAGTCCAGTTTTCAGTTCCA